AACGGAGCTTTAGGTGTATGAGGGGAAAGTTTCTATGCCTTACCACAGTGGCGTTGCTTAAAAATGGGCATCGATTCACATAGCGAGCGGACACTGATAACATACGTAGGAACTTCTGCACGGAGTTAGCATCAGCTACTACACCTTTAATCCGCATCACCAAGTAGCAAACTCGTCTGTGCAAGTGAGCGAGCATCAAACACAATAAACAATCTTCCAAATGAGAAGTGAAAGGCTCTGACAGATCGAATTTATTGGGACTGGATTTCACGGAAAATGGAATGCTATCGCCGATCTACTCTGTAAATTCGGCGGAGAAATGGGTACCGTACGGACGGGAGGAGTCGAAAACCGGCCTGCTACACGGGTTTTGGAAAACTGCCGCATGACCTGATTAATGAGAGTTCATTACCATCTACGGACAGGACTTATTGAGGAGTAACGGCCGTAGCTTCTACCTCGGCAAGCGAAGAAGGGAAAGGAGCAAAGGGCGCTTTTGAGTATCTGTGTGTGAGGATGTGAGCAGTCAAAATTTCGTTCAAAGCAGCGCAGGTCGCAGAATGTTATTGCTACCATATGCGAAATAAAATCCAGCGAGCTGTCAGATCGCTCGCTTTCCCGGCAAGCAACAGGCATTGCCGTGAAAAAGTAAACGACAAAATCGGGACCCTCTGAACGGGTAGCACGTATACCTGGAATAAATGTTTGCCAGAAACTCAGGATTAAATGGCCGGACAGAGATGCTCTGGTCGTGTTTGTGTGTTTGCATTTCATTTCCATCACTTATCCGATCAATTTTGATCGTCTTGGTTTTATTGCTAACCAATTTGATCATGGTGGTTTTAAAATGCAGTATTTGACAGCGTGAATAAGTTGTTTCTTGCTTCGCGAGCACGTGTGCAATTACGAAAGGCCTTTGCAGCTTTGGGTCCCTCTGATCGAGAAAGCATTAGCGAAAATATTTGGTAGTTATGCGAAGTTACCAGCAGGTCGTACTCTAGAAGGCTTGGCAATATTGACTGGTGCACCATGCACATTGTTCGATCTTGAAAGTGCAACGGATTACGATCTCATTTGGGCTCGCCTTCTTAGTATGAGGTGTATTTTGCACAGTGTTCAGTCCAGTTTTTTTTTTTTATTTCTCAATAAAAACGAATTTTAGGAAACTTTCGAAAGTTGTATGCTGGGTGTAAGAACTCCAGACACTGGCATCAGAAGTTATTAAATTTCTTTTGCTAGAAGTAAGCAACTCAGGACCGAAGTATCTCGCTCAGCTGTATTAGCCGTTTTTGAATGCATTTCTTGACTTCTTTAACATCGATTGTTCTCAGAAAGCACTGTTGTGGCGTATTGGTAATCTTCGTAAATGAACAAATCATAATAAGTGAAACCTGCGTTACTGGTCTGAGAAAGAATGAAAAAGCTGAGGAAAAAGGAGAGAATTTCGAAATTCATGTGCTGATATAACATTGGCATATATTTGTCGATGTGAACACATAAAGGCTATTTATTTTACATTTCGAGACTCCTTGGACAACGAATTTCTGCTTACGGATGGGAAAAGGTGTTTATCAATAGGGCGCTTCAACTTGAATTCAAGAGAGCTAGCAGTAAACGGAACCAGAGAAGAATAGGAACAAAATTAGCGAGAAGACGGATACCCCTATTGCTTTTGCTAAAATCGACCTGGAAAAGGAAAGAATGGTGAATTCGGGACTGTTCGGCAGCTCTGTGTTGTCATTTGCTTCTGTTCCTGTCACCTCTTTTCCTGTGCAGTTTTTTTTCAAGCTGTAGGGTTAGTCCCTGCTACACTGTCCTCGGAAGACTTTGAAAGCAGTGTAGTTGAAATGGCTGCAGTTGTCGTCTGAATTACTGCTTTTATGAAAAGCCTTCAAGCTGTTCCGTTGGTTTAAGGGAAGCAGGATTTATCATGGGTTGTAGCTGTGGTGGCGGGAAACGACACGTCGACGAAATGGACTTTAGACGCGTTGGCTTGCAAATTCGGCATGCGTACTCGTTGTTGGATGTGAAAGAGTATTGTGGCCAGAGGTTTGTCTTCAGTTTCGGAAGATTAAAAGGTTCCATTTTATGGACGCTTTTGTTAAAATATTGTCATTCATAGAATACTGATAGCTCGCAAATGGTAAGCAGAATGTGAGAAGCTGCAAGCCAAACTTTGTTCATATGTCATTTTTCACAATCAGCTTGCTGGTTTCAGCACTCAGTAATCATGTTTGCGGAACTGAACTCTTTTTTTTTTCACTGTCTGCAAAAATCCGTCGTAAATGTGCCTTTAGATTGACGAATAATGAAATAAGCACAGAGACTTGTAATAATTTGCTTTCGATTTAACATATTTGACTTAAG